AGGAAGCCGATCCTTCATCTATGTTGTGAGCTGCAAGTATTCTTGCCCAGTTCCCCACCTGCATCTTCACTCTGGTGTTCTTGTGTTACAAAAGTCATTTTGTGTTAGTGTGTGGTCCTAGTTTTTAAATCTATTACTTCTGAAACTTCCAGTAGAAGTGTCTTCCTGCTCCAAACAGTAGAGCACATTCCAGGTGGTTTCATTGGTTTACTTACGATTTCTCTCAATCCATTTAAATCTTTAATTGATTTAAAATTTGCCTTTAAACGTTTGAGACAGTTTTGTGCAGCCTAGGCTGACCTTGAACTTGTGATCCTCTTGCCTCTACCTCCAGAGTTCTGTGCTGCTATGCCTGGTTTTAATTTTATCATTCTGGACAGGAAACGGGCTGTGGATCCGACTCCACCTTTCTCTAACCCTCCCTTCCTCCTTGAAATACTCTGCCTGTGGCTTTTAAGGCTCCATGGAAGGACACAGAAAGACCCCATTTTTTAAAAGGGGCGGGGTCATCATTCAGTAATCTGCTCTCCCTATTTATCTTGCTTTTCATATGTTTCATTTACCCCCAGGGCTTTGATCCATGGGCTGAGAATTCACAGTTTATGTGATGGCTCCAGACACAGACTACTTGGAGGTCTCCATTTAAATGAGCCTCTCAAATGTCAAATGTCCATGTCTGATCCCATGAGCTGCTCTTCCCCAAGGTGGAAGATGGCACGGCCTTGCTGGGGCCTTTGACCAGTGGATGGAGCTGGAAGTGACAGAGAGCAGTCCCATGTCTCTCTTCCTCCCTTCTTTCTCTACATCTGTCATCCTCAAAATCTGCTAGCTTGATTTCCAAAATCACATCTCAGCTCATCTACTTGTCCCCCATCTCCTCTGTCTCTACTATAGTCTAGGATCCTTCACCTGCCTAACCAGACCCTCCCTTGGGTCTCCCTGTGTCCACTCATGCTATCGGGAGATTTGGCAAACATCATGTCATCCATCTCAATCCATTTTCCCCTTCCTCCTTCCCCATCTCTCTCTCTTTCTTTCTCTCTCTCTCTCCCTCTCTCTCTCTCTGTCTCTCTCTGTCTCTGTCTCTGTCTCTCTCTCTCTCTCTCTCTCTCTCACACACACACACACACACACACACACACACACACACACACACACGTTCTTAGGAAAAATCCTGAGAACTTTCATATAAATCTTATTTACAGCCATAAAATTGGAAAACTACCCACAGCCAGGAAGGCGTCGTGAGACACTAACATTTGCGGTACCTGGGAGGGACAGACGTTTGTTGGGAAAAATGTCTAGGGGATTCCCATAGAGGAAGCAGTGTTTGTACAGACATGGAGGTGACCAGATGCTCATCTTGTGGAACCAGAACATTATTTATGGGAATAAAACAATAGAAATAAGTCATCAATGGTTTCTCTGAACACTGGTGTTTTACAAGTTTAGATTCACTCAAAGCAAGCTTGAGATGAGACTTCCTCCGAGGAGACTCTCTGTAGGAAGGAACAAGGAATGCCTGGAATAAGAAAAGAGGGCAGGATGCATCCTCCATGGGGGCTACATGGAGGATCTGTAGAGCAAATGATCCTTTGGAAAAAGTGAGTTTGGCTTTCTGACTGTCCTACTTCCTCCCAGGACCTGATTCCCGTTCATCAGAGGCCATTCTCTAGGTAACTTAGCAGTCAAAAGTCACAGAAGCTGGACCTGGGTGCCTCAGATGCTTGAAGAGACTCTAATGTAGTGACAACAGACCCCTCAGTCCTGCCTCATTTACTTCTCCCAGGACCCCAAGAGGCGGGTGTCACTTCTCCTGTTAGTAGGAAGCTGCCATCCTTTGCCTAAAGACGTCTGGCCCATACAGGGCATAGAAGAGCTAGGAATGTGAGTCCAGGTCTGTGGGAGCTCAAGCCCTTCCCAGGTAGACTCCCTTCTTCCTGGATCATGCAACCTGGACAGACAGATCCCAGAAGCTCTGAGTCTGCTCTCAGCCAGGAGAGAACTGATCTCTATCGTACTGACTCCTAAAGCGGCTGCTTGGAACATCCTAGAAGCTAGTGCTTGCTAGAAATTGCTTCCTGCTCAGATCCAAGGCCTTTGAATCATAAGGTGCCCAGTGGACCTTGCTGCTTGGGTGAACCTGGGATGTAAATGGACCTACAAGAAATATAACATCTTCTGGCCTCTGAGACCTTCATTTTCTCCGTGCTCATATGGGTCCTATAGTAACTGGGACAGTACAATTCCTGCAGTTGATAAGACAACACTCTGTGAAATGGCCGTGCATGTGTGTGCATGTGTGTTGCATATATGAGTGTGTGTGTGTGTGTGTGTGTGTGTGTGTGTGTGTGTGTGTGTGTGTTTTCAAATACAGACTCGGGAAAACAGAGAATAACCTGGCCATTTTTTGCCATTAAAGACCAGAGGCCAGTAGAATCCCTCTGAGCCATCGTGTCCTAGAAGAGCCTGAGTTAATTCATCAGCAAGGCCAGTATGAACTTCATATCCTCTGTTTCTCATGTGGCCATTTGAAAAAAGTCTCCAGTATTTTATAGTTCCTCTGTTCAAGAGCCAGCAACTATTTCCTGCTGCTCAAATCTGCACTCGCCCTGTGTCTGGCTTTGACCAATGGATGGAGCTGGAAGCAATGATAGACCAGGTCCATGTCTAGACCTCAAGAGGTCTGGCTTCTGGACTTGCTGCTCTGGGAAACCTGCCCCCACCTTGTGAACAGCCTCAGACTAGCTGTCTGGTGGAGCAGAAGCGACCGCCACATCAACTAGCAGGAGGCTTTTCCAGATCTTATGGCTGCCGCTCCGGAAGAGCCTCTCAGCTGAGCCCAGCCAAGCTGCCAACCAATACAACCACAGACTACCTACACATTTGCAGTTTTAGCCACTGTATTGTGAAGTACTTGTTTTGCAGCAAAAAAAAAAAAAAAAAAAAAAAAAGGTAAACTATGAGAAGTCTAGGATGCCTTTGCAAAGTTGCTGCTATTAAATTTGACTTGTGCAACTGGCTGGACTCAATCTTACAGAATTCTAATTATTATTATTACTGTGATTGTTATTATTAGACGAGTATTGCTATACTAGGTATATACAGGTAGCCAAGACAGGTCTCAGACTTACTATCTTCCTGCCTCAACCTCCCAAGCACTGGGAATCCAGGTGTGCATCACTATACCCAGCTCCTAATGTCTTCTTTTAAATTAGACAGACCCTTTGAAGACAGCAAAAAGATCTAGAAGAATTTTTTTTTTCATTTTTCTAGACAGGGTTTCTCTGTGTAGCTTTGGAGCCTTTCCTGGAACTCACTCTGTAGCCCAGGCTGGCCTCGAACTCACAGAGATCCGCCTGGCTCTGCCTCCCGAGTGCTGGGATTAAAGGCGTGCGCCACCACTGCCAAGCTGGAAGAATTCTTGAGAAGTCCAACTTATCCTGTTCTCCTGTTAGGGAAGGTGGGATTCAAAAGATAGATTAAAAAGGCCACCTTCACACATTACACCAGTGTTCCTGGAGCACTTTCTGTGTGAGAGCCACAACCTCATGGAGTACATAGCAGTTAAGGGATTATATCTTTCTGCCATGGAGGTCTCAGTCTTGAAACAGACAAAAACTAAGTCATCACACACATATGGTGGATGACCACAGACAGTAGCAAAAGCCGGAAATTAAAACAAACTGGTGTCATGATGGACAATCCTGGACCCAGATCGGAATTTGAGTCCACAAACAGCTCTCTGAGGAGGTGATAGGTAGGTTTTGAAGTCAGAGCACAGCATGCTCTTGGGGATTTGGGAGTAACTCAGAGGTCCAGAGTAAGCCCTGATCATCTAGGATGACCACATTTCTAAGCTGATTCTGGACAACCAGGCCTTGCAGTGTGACATCCCCAGGCCTTGGAATTATTGCTCACTATTCCTGCAGGCTGGCACATGGGATAGCAACATAAAGGCGGCTTTGGCAACACAGTGCTCACATGGAGCAGGCCAGAGAAGGGGTGGGGTGTGGCACCCCAGGATCAGCATCCATACCACTTGAACTGTGTTATGTTCTTCATTAGGAGAGCTTTTCGTGGACCCCGGGCTCACATCTTATTTACGGCCCCATGGGACCTGTCACAGGATAAGGTACATTATGCCTGTGAATTAAAAGGCTTTTGTTTTCCCCAGCCAGAGAATGTGAACCAATCATGATGACTGAGGGGCCAGCCAACTTCAGTTGCCAAGACAGAGGTAGACATCAGGAGCAGGGCCAGGCTTGTCCTCCAGCTCCCCGAGGTTCTTAGTAGCTGGGAAACTCCTTAGCTCCATCCAGCATTTTTAGCTGCTGCCACCTTACAGACTCTCCTACCTCAGGATGCCATTCTCCATATTGTCACAGACAGCAGCAAGGACCCCCTCCCTGGTCACAGTCCGTAGCGCGGATGCTCACAGCTGAGAAACGCTAACTGTCTATTCTCTGTGGAGAATCTGATTCCGTCTATGGCTCCAGAGGTCTGGATCATCATGGAGGACTTTTCAGGAAGCCTGCCCTCTGCCCCTTATGCCATGTCCACAAGCCTCCTCAGTGGCTTCAGACAACTGATTCTGTGTGATGGGTAGAAGCTGATCACCTACCGTGTGTACACACACTCTCCAGATGTCCCTAACGACGTTATGTAGGAGGAAGGCAGTGGCAGAGAGCATGGGCCACCTAAAATCACTACTGTGAAATCTGTCCCTCACTCAGGAAATGTGGGCAAAACACTTGGAGTGTTAAGGTCTCGGTGATGCCCACTGTATGCCAACGGTACTCAAGGACGTCATTCAGAGCCAACACCGCAGTCCTGCTTTGTCCCTCAGAAGGACTCAACTGATAATTTGAACACTGGGAGAAGAGCACCAGGCCATGCCCGACAGCTCTGGCAACTGTGGCCCTCCTACCTCAACACCAGCAGCAGCTTGGCTCCACCAGCCCAAGGCTCAGACCCCCCCGGGGAGGAGGGGCACTCACCTGGCTGGTTGGCAGGAGCTCTGGGTTTCCGTCACTCATCCCCACGTAGACACTGTCACCATCAGACTAGAATAGAACATAGAACAAAGACAAAAGTGTCCCTCATTAAAACGTCCCTAGAGGGAGGCAGGACCTGTGCCCCGAGGAGGTAAGGGACTGTGCTGAGAGAAAGCGGTGTAAGGGCTGCAGAAGCAGGCACGGGAGCCCAGGACGCCTAGGGCCCCATTCCAGCAGGTCCACTGGCCCCTGGCCTGTTCTCTGGCCCTTGAAGGCCCCGGTCAGGACCATCAATCACACAGAGGACAAAGACAGGCAGTGAGTGCCTTCTGCTGTCGGGGCTTTGTCTACTGACACAGCGGGCTGCCTTGTCAGGCCCTGAGCTATGTGCCTCTGCAAGTATACAAATGACTCTTCTGGCCAAAATGACAGCTAAAGGCAGAATCCCATGTGCCAGGGAAGAGATTCGAAGTTCATTGCCTTGGAGTCACTGACAGCCTGCCCCAGAGACGCCCACTCCATCTTTCTACCTTTGTCCCCACCTCTGTCTGCTTTTAGCCACATGGCCACAGGTGTGAGGACTGTGGTGGAAACTGATGAGGAAACACCGTGTGTTAGAGAATCTGCCACTCCTGGATTTGGGAAGAACTGCCCATCACGGGGGAACAGGTGCAGGGGAAGAAACACGGACCCCGTCAGCAGCTACTGATGTGTGAGCTTCAGCTGCTGTCCCAAATTCTGAAGTTCCTCATCTGCCAAATGGGGATAGGATGGTGATCCTCTCTTCACAGGACAGTTTAGAGCAGCTTTGCCACATGCCACTACCTATCAGGTTTCACTCAATTCCAGGTAGCCCCCTTTCCTGGAGAGTGGCATCATTTTAGAGTCCCCCAGAGGCAGAGATTGAGGCTGAGGCATGCACTTTTGAGCAAATGATTGGCGGGCGGACAGGTGGGTGGGCGGGGGGGTGGGAGGCTAACCAGTATGGACACTGATTGGCTGGAGCTAAATGAGGACACTCACTTCATTCCATGGTGGCTCTGAGGCATGAACTATACTCACACACATAGGGTCAGTCTCAGCATGAGGCAAGGGACGATGGCCTTTCACAGTCTACAGCAACCAACCATTGCTGTGGCCTGCCCTTAGAGGGGACACAAGGAGGCATAACCTTCTGAGCAAGATGGCCTCCACTGGGCCAGAGACAAGAATCTGAAGGGTTATATCCACCAAAGGCTACATGTTTATAGTTACTTCATCCTCCAAATGATAACACTCTGTATACTGTTTTGTGACTCATCTTTCTGATGGAAATACATCTTGGAATGTGATCTATATCAAAACATAATTGCTTTTGCCGGTCTCCAGATTTCCACAGTAAGAAGGCGGCATAGACAACTAGCTGAACTTGTGGCCCAGTGAACTTTCTCTCTTTTGCATTTCACCATGGCGGCATTAGTCATTGCACAAGGGTATGAGTTTCTCTATGACTAATTTGCCTGAGTACAATTGTGCAGACTCAGGATGTAGAGCTCTACACTCCCTCGGCCATGTAGATGTCTGTCCAAGCCCTTCCCTTAGAAATGTGTATATCAACCTGCCAGGAGGCCAGCCCCACCCCTGTGGGCCCAGAGAGCCAGTCTCCCTGCTACCACCTACTCTCAGTGCCATAGCCTATCATCCCTCTATCACTTCAATTGCTCTCCAACATTGACTGTGTTCACTGCTCAAACCGCATTCTCCTACCACACCCCATGTTCCCAGGGATCCAGGACTTCATGCTATGCACAGAAGAGAAGCTTAACCAGGGAGCTGAGACATTTTCTAAAACAGTAGCAACTAGACAGGGTGGTGTAAGTTAGTAATACATAACAATATCTAACAAGAAAACAGACTGGAAGATGTCCCCCCTAAACCCTGTGTGATGGCCAGCAATTGTTAAACTCTGGCTGGAAGACAGCTAGCAGGAAGAAAAAGGTCCATCTTTTTCATATACAGTGGGCAAGTGACCAAAAAAAAAATGTGGTGAATGAATGGACTCTACCTGACTCTGAGTGACATGCTTTCTATGGAGGATTCCAATGGTCCACCAAAACCAGCATTCTTTTCCCCCATTAAAAACCAAGGGAATCGCTTCTCGGCCTTTTGGCTAAGATCAAGTGTAAAAACCAAGGGAACACAGAGAGGAGGAGCCGCTCAATGGGAAAGAGACCACCTAAGTGCCTTTGTTTGCTTTGCCAGGTTTCTTCCCAATCATGCTGCAAGCTCCCTGTAAGCAGAGACCAAGGCTTTTATAGATCCTTCCATGTCAACAACGTTCAACAGATGCTCAATAAGTGTGTTGGAGACTCAGGAGAGAGAAGAGTCACCCAGAGCGAGCAGTGGACTATGGATTTGGACAGGAAGCCCTCTTGGAGTTTTGCAAGAGGTTTGGGGGCAGATAAGGGGTGGGGCAGTGGACTCCTGTGAGGTCATCAGAGAGTCTCGCTCATTCACACATCCATCAGTTCAAGCAATGTCTAAGAAAGAGGCGTCACGTGAAGCTAGAGCGAAGCTTGCTTTGGCTTTGAGGAAGGACTTTGTTGGCAGGCTGTTGCTGTAGAAGCTTGGTCTGCCTCGATTTGGAGAGTCTTGGGCGCCCCGTACAGTGTCCTGAAGTATGCTGGGCCTAACAGCTACGAACTGAGGCTAGGGCAGAGGGAGATCAGCTGTCTGCCCACTTCGTCAAAGCCATATTAGGCAGAGAACTTGGATCTATGAAGTGAGGTAGATGGTCCCTAAGGGCTTGGGAGCTTCCACCTCATTGGCCTCCAGGAACAAAGGCCTGAGGTTTCTCCCTTGCTCCCCTCCTCATGGAGGACTCTTCCTGGTAAAAGGACAAGTAAGCTAAGGAAAAAGTCACAGAGCTACCCTTCCCTGGACAGAGCAGGGCCACCTTCCTCCACGTGTGCTCAGACCCTATGGAAAACACTCACATCTCCACCACTACCCAGGACATGCTGAGGTAAACAGAAACTCAGGTTTGTGTGGATCCATGTCATGCACAACTTAGTCCCACAAGCCTTGTATCCATAAACGACACAACCAATGTGCACAGAGCACAAGTACAGGGCACATTATCAGACTGTGAAAACTGGCACACAATTCCCAGAACACACACAGGAAAGGAGGGGGCCGATGTAGAAAGACACACACACCTGCAACTGTTTGCTGGAACTCACGTTAAGTGTGAACGCAAACACGCATTTCGTGTTCCCAGAGAGACAGATTAAATGACGACATATGGGCAGAAATCCTGTGTACATCTCACAATTTATCCGTCCCTCCGCCAAAAGTCATTTTTCACACTACACAACCTTCTGTGTGCTTTAAAACGTGCCGAAGAAACACAGGGGGTCAACAGCCTAAGAATTGCCATGAAACGTCAGGACATCCTCTTCCCATTGCCTGGAATAGATTAATTTTCCCCATTTCATATTCTAATTATAATTCCTTTCCCACTGCCATCTTCAGCCCTCATTACAGCTGGAAGATTGTTCTGCAAAAGCCAGGCCTTCATCTTCTCTCCCCAAGAGTTTTGTCATGGAAATGAGTTTTGGAGTCTGAAAGAACCCACATTTTTTTTTTTTTGCAAATAGCGAATGTGCAGGGATAACCCTTTCATGTCAGCCACCAGGGATAGGCTCACAGAGGCTTCTAAAGGGCCTGTCTCTCTCCACACTGTGTGGTCGCCTCAGGGATAGGAGCTCCAAGGCCTCTATTCCAACAGCCACTGCCCAACCTAAGTTCATCATGTTCCCCCCAAGGATTGTTTTTATCTTAAAAGATACCTAACAAATAAGCAGCCTAAGTGAATAATGAGGAGCCCTGATCTGAGAGAGACAGAGCCTAGCTCCATCTGTCCCACCTTAGGCAAGTTCTTTACATAAAAGCCTTGTTTTCCCCATTCTTCTGACCTACAGTCTCTGATTCATGAGAGATAAAAATATCTATCTCTCAACAAATATGTGTTATGAGATGGAGACACACAGTAAGTGGGAAAGAAGGAGAAAAATAACGGGCAGATTGATGCAGATACCAATAAATGAGGAATGGATGAGGGATAGGCAAATGGGTCAGTAGATGCAGGGCTGATAAATGATGGATCGATTGAGGCAGGGACTGATGGATGATAGATTAATAGATGGATGGATGGATGGATAGATGACTAGAAAAGGGATAAAATGAATGAATGATTACATGTGTATATATGGATGGATGGATTGTGAATACATAGACAGATAGAGGCAGAAACCAAAGAATGATGGGTAGAGGGATGAATGGATTAATACATGGATGTATGGATAGATGGATAATAGATGCATCAATTAATTGATCAGTTAATACAAGGACCAATGAATGAATGATGGACAGGAGAATAGATGGATGAATGATGGGTTGATGGCTAGATAGGTAGATAGATGAATTATGGGTAGATAAGTGGCTAGATGGAGGATACGTAGATGGATGATGGATAGTGTAAATTCTCATTGTCCAATAGAAATAAAATACAAGTCATAAATGTGAACCACATGTGTAATTTACGTTTTTCTACTAGTTGCAATTTAAGAACAGGGGAAACTCATTTTAATGATGCGTTCTATTTATCCTTGTATATTTATAATATGATTTCAATGTACAATTAATATTAACCTAGTAATTGTTGATGAGATGGTTCATTGGTGAGGTGAAGGAATGAAGAGATGCCTGTTCATTCATTGATCCTTATGTGATGAATGGATGGGTAGACGGGGTTGGGATTTATGGATGGGATGGTTGAGTCAAGAGGGAGAAATGGACCCCCACTCTGGCCCCAGAGGCTCTGGGTGGCTGGGAGACACCCAAGCACCCACCCCAGCATGCACCACTGCGATGAGCAAATACGTGATGGAGAGATGGGAAAGAGTATGTGGTGGAGAGATGGGGCAGAAAGAGAAGCAGAGCATTCCACGTGCTGTAGAGAGAGGTGAAACTGGAGACACAGTGGTGAGGAACAGGCCAGTATGAGGAGCCTGCACAGCCACCTGAGT